AAGTAGTACTCAAGTTTAATTAGGAATATACGAGCGTTATAATAGACCGGCCCATCGACAATTTGGCAGTAGAGGGGCAACGCCGCCCCATCATTTCTATTACGACGCGCTCATAAATGTCCATAGGCCAACTCCTGTCGGAAGTCGTTTGGAGTAAACAGCACCATGCTCTATTTTTTTCCGGATAATTAAAAACGAAGTAATGTGAATGGAATATTAATTAATGGTGTTATAATAATTTTAATTAATCATTATGTCACATTAAAACAATTCACAATGTAAATATAGAGTATCCTCGCTGTAACGTTATACAACGAGAAAAGGCACGCATGAGCACATGCGCGGCCCTACCCACAGCGGAGGGCCCAAACCCGTGGGTTCTGGCTAGCCCACCGGTTCTGCGTCAAATGAAGCTTTAATAGTCTCGGGACTGAAAGCACAAAAATCAGTTAATAAAAAAAAAACAACGAGAAAATCGCCACACAAGAGCACCTCAAAATGCATGCCGTCGCAGATCGGTGGTAAATAAAACTTATTTCAGCGGTTTTTTCAATGTAAAAAGGGTGGCAAGCGAGCTAGCGGTTCACCTGATGTTAATTAATAACCACCGCCCATGTACCACAAAACCCGTAGGGGTGCAAATGCGTTGGCACTATCAATAAACTGTGCAGGATTTCCTCGCTCACCAGACGAAATGCTGAACAGTCCCAACTCACGCCAGTCTTCTTTGAGGTTGTGGTTCCTCCCCGGACGGGACTGCCCATTACTGCAACAGCAAAGACTGCTGCTTGACCCTAACACAGTTAAGTTTTAAAATCGATCCCTGCTCTCTGAATACCAGACAATCCTACGCATAAAGGTCTAAAATCAATGGGTAAATATTTTAGTTAACTCTAATGTTGTCTTGTACGCAGTGTATTCCGAATAAAATAAATCTAAATGAACGTAGGAATGCTAAAAAATAAATATTTGGCATAGTTTTAAATCGGTAAAGGCAAATGTTTACGGCAATATGAACTAGTGCTTTTAATAACACGTTTTGTGCTATTTTTACCTCGCTCTTAAAGTTTCATCTATTTATAAAATACAAGGTCTGTAACTCTGTATGCATAAGTGAGTATATTTAATATATCTCAATTCAGTTCTATCCACAGCTATACATTATTGCAAAATGTAGTATGTACAGAGTACATACTACATATTGTACAAATGTACAATATGTAGTATGTACAGAGTTATCTTTTCAAGGTAGAAACACATTCTTATTTATTTATTTTATTTTACAATTTCAGGCAAACTAACAGCTAGCACACAAGTATTTGATAATAAATAAAGAATTGAGAGATAGAGAAGGCCAATTAAAAGTTTCCAAAATTAGATAAATATACATACTGAAATGATTTAATGAGTATTAAAAGTCGTTACCATCGCGACAATAAATGAACACACATATAGGGGATAACTTTTTAAAGTTGTATTAAACATTTAAATTCTTTAAACATCAATATTTACACAATATTTACAAAGTAAAGTATCAGCCTATACATGTCCCACTTCTGGGCAAAGGCCTCCCCTGTACAGAGGGTATCAGGGCATAGTCTACCATGCGGCCCCACTGCTGATTGGCGGACTTCACATATCTTCGAAATATGTTATTATTTCGAAAATATGCAGGTTTCCTCACGACGTTTTCCTTCACCGCTGACCACGTGATAATTCAGCACTTAAAATTGACAATTTGGGGATCGAACTCAGATTGCTCGAGTATATTAAATTAAAGGCGAGCGCCCGGACATTGAGCTATTACGGCTAATGACTATCGACTTGACTTAATTCCCGACAAACATTTTTTTTATTTTTCGCGATACTTCGGCATATCTTCTCGTCTAATATCACTCAATGTTTGAAGACAAAAGTCTTCAATCAATGTGTGTTGCCAGTGATGAGCTACGAACCTCCTTCACTGCTACTAAATATGCAAGAAAACGTGGAGGTCGTCGATTCTGAGATTCGAGCTCCCGACCTACGGTCGTGTGCCTACACCCAGCCCATTTTCCCCTCCAAGTAAAACCAGTTTCGCTGAAAGCGTTTCCACGCGGACACGTCCGGCCAAATCACCCTGACGATCCTCGAACTTGAATGACTTCGGAAGCCCCTGAAGAGAACATCCTCGCATGCATTCCTAGAATGTTGAAATGTGTTCTTGTTGCGTTACTGTCGCTGTTTAGGTATTCGAGCTGCCGTGTTCCCGTGAAAATAAAAATTAACTAAATGTCTAGGACGCGGGATCCCTAGTACATTGTACCCGATTAATTAATATCTTATCTACATGTACGTAAAAAGGACTAGGACAGGATCTAATGTATACTGATTTTAAATAACTTAAAATTTTGAAGTGTAGATACCCGAAATGGTGTTTCGGTAAACTTCACCACTGCTGAGGAAATAGGAAATAAACGTTTGTAGTAAAGGAGAAACCGCAATTTATAATGTTAAGTTCAAATCAAATGAAACTTTTTGCGTATTTAATTGAAATTTATACAGTCCGTCCCGAAAATGACGTCCGACCATGAGCGCTGTAAAACGTTCGAAACGTGGGGAAATTAAAATTTAAAAATTAAAACATCATAAAATCCGTAAATAGTTTCATTTAACCGTAAATACAAGAAATCATTACAAGTTCAAATTAATAAAGAAGATTAATTAAGAAACTGTTTTAATGCGGTATGCCTAAAAATACGCATCTAACCGATTAGACGCCGCGATGAATCGGAAAACACTAATTTGGTTTCTGTCTTCGCGCTTCAGACGTGCCAGAAGTGTTTAATTTGCAATTAAAATGGTCCACTGAGGAGCCAACGTGTCGGTTCGCGTAATGGAATCGCTTCCGACTTATTCAATGCCGTCTGGGTGATAATAGAAATAAGGCCGTAGAAAACATTACGCTAACGACGCCCATTTATCACGATCGCGGTCCCGTTACGGGAGAAGGAGTAGCCGCTTCGAATTGAATTCTGTTTTTCTCGGCGACCTCTGTAGAATTTCAGGATGCCCGCATTAAATGCGACTTTTAAATATTTCATCGAGGACTATTTCCCCCACAAATATCCACACTGTTATAAGAGAGTTTGATGTCTTAATCGGGTATATCGAAGAGTCGAGTACACGGCCGCCGGAACTCGATATAGGCACGATCTATCGGCGGTGCCCTCGGAGGAAGCAGCGCGTACCCTAGAGGGCCTCAATACGCGCGCGCTCCCCACCTTATTCCCACGGCGGTAAGGGCGCGATTCGCTCGGCACGCCGCGTACAAGGCCGAGTGGCCCAACACGCCCGTGCGTAAGACACCGCAAAAAAAACTTCATTAACGATCACTGGCGTGACGATCGACAAAGATCAAGGGGCGCGGATGCGAAAGCGTAAACAAGGTTTAATGCCCACGCACCGACGCGTTCGGTGCGACCTCGTCTCAGACTGTTGTGACGCGCTGATCATAGGAAATCGGATTGGAGCATATTAAAGACTCCCAATGGAGTAATAAATTAACATTCGAGACGCGTTATACCTACTTAATTTTTTACCCCAATTGTGAGAGCAATAAATATAATTTATTAAAGGCGCTTTGAGACTTTGTGATTCAGTCGAAGTTAATTTCACACGTGTTCTCTAAAATATTACATTCCTCCATTCGTGATGTTAATTAGTTTTATTTCCCTATTCTTAATAGCTCATTAAGGACCAATTAACATTAACGACTGATGTGGTTATATTGAGAAATAAGAATACGAAAATTTATCACAGTTCTTTCAAATTTCATTTTTTCTCTACAAAAAGCGGAAATATCATTTTTTTAACTTAACGGATTGCGAAAAGGACCACGTTAACACTTTACTGAGACGAACTTTGGTCGTACAACTAACAAAGTTCGTAAACAAACGAGTTTTTTTAACTTGTAAACAATTTGTATCGTTGATTTGATTTTTGAAAGTGGTTTCGGACAAGTCAAATAGAAGGGAGTTACCCTTTTAGAAAGCGTTGTCTTAAATTGTTTACAAACGTAGTATTCGGTTCTAATTTCGATTAAGTTAAGCATTCGGCTCACGTAAACATTATGGGAAGCTATTATTAGCTTGCACTGGATGGGTAAATTTACAGCGCAATTTAGCGGCCGTATTTAGATTCGACCGAATCATTTGTCGCTTCGATTCCAGCAACTAAGATAAATTACTTTGATTTGAATTGTTAGAAAACAAAATGCATATAAATAGGAAAATGTCAGTGTGTCACTCTGGGTTTCAGTTGTGACAAATCACCGTTTTAAATATCGCTTAAAATATAACGCTAATTGAAAATGTGCAATGTTAAATAATTTTCAATGTTGCTAAAATAAAAATAAACTAGGGATATATTCTAGCCGGAATTCGGATTGGAAGTTATGTTTAATACATAACTTCCGATCCGAATTACAGAAAAACAAATCAGAGTTTACACAGTACACAGACATGATATGTGTCGTCAGCGGCAATAATAAACCTAACGAATTATTCGGGGCGCGTGTGATCTTTGACGGGCGATCGCTAGCGGGCCCCAGCCCGATCAACGCACGCGGCCGATAGCGCACTCATATCCACGTGATACATCGAGGCTTCTGCTGTAGGCCGTGAAAGAAACGTGTCGACGTCCGAAACACCGCGTCGGGACATCACAGACACGCTCGGAACTGTGTCGATTGTATATACCTGTGAATACCTGGCGTAGTACAGGCGTTCCATGGGAGATCCCGGAGTCCCTCCAAATGTACAGAAGGTGCCCACCGAGGTGGTTTCAGTGGGTAAGAACCCCACATAACCCTGTCATGTAAGGTGACAGGGTATCTTTCGCCGATTTCCTCACCAATACAGAAAAGGGGCATGAAACGTTTCGCCGTCCGAAACACCGCGTCGAGACATCACAGACACGCTAGGAATTGTGTCGATTATATAAACCTGTGTATACCTGTAATGTGGCTAATCTATGCCGAAAGAGTTCGTTGGCCGGGGCCGCGGCGCTCGCGACGGGCGCGCCGTAGACGCGGCCGGCCACCGACGTCTTTCGTTTTCGCGCTAGCTTTCCCGGATCTTTATGCCTGTTTGGACCCCTTCGAGGTGAACCTTCTTGGCGTGAGCATTAGCAGACAACTGTTCCGGGCGGGCTATCACAACTTTATGCAGGATATCGAGGGAATACATTTTAAGTAATGTGGAACGCATGTCTCCGCGTTCGGCTAGACGAAAACGGTGTTTTAAATAGCGCTTTGTAATTGTTGGCGGCCTTGGGGTCTCGTTTGAGTCTCGCGAGAGCTCTTTCTCGCTCTAACTGTATTTATCAATGACGAATAAGGACAAAATCACAACGTAACGTTAAGTTTATTAGATTCCGCTGGAGATTGGGCAATCTTATAAGTGGTACGTTCTAATGCTATTATATTTTTGCAATTAACGCCGACCTTTACTGTTACTATTACTACTCTAGGCCGCCACTTAGACATTATTTCCATTTTGATGTCACTTCATGAAAATTACGCAACTTGAAATAGAACCAATTTTTTTCATTTTCGATCTTCACTAATGCTAATTCATAGCAAGATCATTAGATCCCACTAACATAATTATTACATTCTAATATTTTAAATCGAATAATTGTTCACGTAAAAAGATTAAGTTATATTCTGGTTATAAAAAAAATTGTAGTATCCGCGAATACGATACCAGTTACGAAATCGGTTACGTAAAACTACTAGCATAATGCCTGTTGTTGGAAAAGTATTAGTGATTTACGGCTAAATACGAGAATGTAAGAGTAAAAAAACAGCCTATTCACGTCCCACTGCTGTGTAAAGGCCTCCTCCTTATAGAAGGTACCTTTTATTCTTAATTACCCTGAAACCTTTAAATAGGATGTTTGATATAACATTTGAAAAGAATACTGAACTGTAAAGAAAATATATGGTTTTCGACACCATTAAAAATCTCAGATTGAATCAAATTAATAAATTGTATACTGAGTTATGGAATTTTAGTTGTATACATATTTCGAAATATGCAGGTTTCCTCACGATTTTCTTTACTCATTTTGGAAATTTATGAGTAAAGTAGTTTATGTACCTACTATTTATATATATATATACTGTTGATTACATGTCCCACTACTATGCAAAAGCTCCTTCCCTACAAAACAAACAATATTCTGCCAAAGTACCCATTATTAGGATAAATGTAAACGTCGTGGCGACGAGGTCATGGGTCCGATAGCCATCAATTCTTTGTGTGACCTCCAAACAACTTCTCCGCATCCGAATGTTTGTCTACGAACGACATTTCGCCGAACTTAATCGGATTCGTGGTTAATACGTCGTAGACCGGTACAAACCTGAGACAACTATCTTTCCCATTGGTTTTGCGAGAGCATGGCTAACGGGCAGACGATTTGCCTGCCACGGTTTGCGCAGCTCTAGCTATGTTGGCAACCTTCAACAGGATTGACCTCGTTAGCCTCCAAGCAGGCGATATTTAAAAAAAATACATAAAATTGCATCTGTCTGCAATTTGAAGCGACTGATACAGTAGACCAGTGCACGCAATCGGGAACTGGAGCCACAACCTTCGCTCATATCAGTCACAAAGGCGTCGCTCGAGGCCTGTGTTTTTAACATCTGCAAACATTTGCAGTGGCAATTAATTAACATCAGGTACACAGCCTGCTCGTATAAAAATACAAAAAAACAAACCATATTATTTGAAGTCGGTTAAAAAATATGTAACGGATAAACATATTTATATTTCCTAACTATTCTATCATTGTTTTATATGAACAGCGGAAGCGATCTTCATTAATGAACCGTGTAGTGGTTTTATGAGATTATTTCTTTTACTGGATACGAGTAAGGCCTAATCTCGGAAAATTGTCAGTTTCTAGACTCTAGTAGGTCAATTTATTATGATTGTATTTAGTGTAACTATAGCAGAAATCTAGTGCCCATTGTGTAATATTTTATAATTAACTGAAGTCACTAAGGTTACTTTTATTACAAAATTTAAATTTTGATTATACCACATATTCCAACGCCATGGACAATCGTTATACATATTAAAATTAGTACGAAGTTTGCCACAGGAATTTGCCATTTGTTTGTGGTGATTGAGTTTGGTTTTCACTAATAATAAAATACGTTTATCAATTATTAGCGAAATTTGTTTGAAGATAAATATAATAAATATAATCGGATAATGTATATTTCCTTCTGAAGTGCACCCGAACTAGGTCGCTCAGCTAATCCCGTATAAACCAAAAAGATAAAAAACAACAATTCTGTATCTAATAGTATTCAGATGTTGTTAGAGAAGATTGTAATTTTTCCCTTGGCACGTTTCACACAATTTACTTGAATACTTTCCCCGTTCAACGCGAAACTATTCGGCGCTTAAAGAGGAAAAGTTTACAGAAACTACTCGAAACTGAAAGCACAGCGACGCAAACGACTCATTTGGTTAGTTTGCGGCGCGAGTTTTAATTGGAGTAGGTATTACCTCCCCGAATAACATTCAAATCACAATACCTGTATTATCGATAATATCCGCTGACTTCTGAGGATAAAATCGAATCAGATATTATTTTTAGGGTGTCAAAATCAGGTACAATAGAGAAATAGAGCAAAGTTCGTACTTTAAAATGCCCTTTCTCTTTCGAAATAATACCACCTATATGTTAAGAGCCGAGCACACGCAGTCACAATCTCTCCGGGAAAAATACTTATATCGTATAGATCGTATATTCCCGTTCCGTTCAGGAATCGAAGAAGGAACTGCAGACACAGAAGCCGATAACTTGGCAACTACGCCCAGGGTGGGGTCAATTGGAGTACGAGACATCAGTATTGTTGAGAGCCTTATGGTAAACAGACGTGTCACGATCGCCCGCGTTTTAGAACACTAGACAAGTGCATATAAGCAAGGTTACCACTTTATATACGTGTTGAGCAGCATTTAAAACCCGGACAAGTCCAACTCGCGCACGTAGGGTTCCGTACTATACGGGGAGATTTTTTGAGAAGTGCCCAAATTTACACAGGAGGTTCAGACTCAGTAGTATAATCGTTTATTAAAATAAAAGACAAAGTTTTTTTTTCCAAAAAAAAAAATGCCATTCTATTCCCTAAAAAACAGAACGTATGGACTATGCGGTAGCATTCATAAATACCTAAATTTTACTGTGCACGAACTTGTGTGCGTGTTAGTTATGAATGATCGCGCGTAAAATAAATGAGTTGCGTATAAATCACGCACTTTTTGAGATAACTTCAAAAGAATGTAATTAATTACTTACGAGTGATTTTAAATATTTATCATATTTTATATAACATTATTTATGTCTAGAATTAAAAAAAATGGATACACTTAGAAACACCACCCTGTATAAAACTATAAAAACGGCAACGGCTATCCTACCGACAAAAAAATCATGTCTTTTGTACGGGAGCCCCACTTAAATATTTTTTATTCTGTTTTTTAGTATTTGTTTTATAGCGGCAACAGAAATGCATCATATGTAAAAATTTCAACTGTCTAACCATCGCGGTTCATGAGATAATGCTTGGTGACAGATGGACAGACAGAGAGACAGTGAAATCTTAGTAATAGGGTCTAGTTTTACCCTTAGTTTACGGAACCCTAATAAAACATTGAATGTCTATTCGACTTAAGATCAATAGCTTAAAAAGTAATAAACAATTTCAGAGTCTAGGCAGATAAAGTAGGTCTAGGTAGGTAACTTTAAAAGCGAAAGGTGTACGTATTATATTTAACCGTTTACTTACGGAATCGTTTTATCCTCTCCTTAGAACGTTTCAGAATTTTCACCGTAACCTACTTGTGTATACATCGTTGATTTGTACTTGTGTGTTATTCGAGAGAAATTCCCCACAGGGTCATTCAATTTAACGGCTGTTTAATGCAAGATCGCCGTTTAACGATCAACAATATATCAATTGAGGGTCGGCACCCTCCGAAGGTGGGTGGACGAGTAACAATGACAGATGTCCAGCTCTTTCTCGGCACTATAAATAGTACTGATGCGGCAGCCAAACGCTTTCTCTGGACGCATCCGATGATTCGTACTCTGAATGAATACGGGCTTTAATGATTTAAGAAAGGAGCCATTTGTCTCGGGGTACTTCGATCTAAACTTGTGACGGGTATGCTAAAACGCTAACCGAACTTGTTGTGCCAAACTTTACAGAATTGTCTACGCACAAAAGCAAATCGGCGACTTTGTAGTGCAATTCTCAAGGTCCGAAATCAACAAACTTATTGAAACATGTGCGTGGCAGCCAAAATGGGGTTCAATGGGACACAGTCACGATAAGTCAAGGGGGCAGATCATAATGGAACGACGTTTACAGTCTTGGCAATAAATGAAAATAGCTCTGATTATTCAGTACCCGTCTAATCTTGTAACCATAATGGAACCAACACGTTAATTTATTTATCAATATGTTATGTTCATATTTATTTTTTTTTTTGAAAATCTGTTTGTTGTTTGTCATAAAATGTGACAGCTGAAGGCGAGCCCAATCGCTTGGGAGCCGGTATCAGATGGTTTCAGCCACGTTCCACCAACGGGCCAACAGTGCTACGGGATTGATTTGTCATTTTAATGTTAACCGACAGAGTGAACATAACTCTCAATAAACGGGCAAGTGTTTACCGTCATGTTCATTTATACAACATTTATCTTTTAGAGAAAACAAGATAGCGTTTTTGATTACGGGAAATCACATTTATTAAACCGTTTGTTCTCAGACGTTTCCATTGAACAAATCTTTAACAATTTCGAATAATCAGGCAAGCAGATAACAGTTTTACGTTTTTGTGGTGCGAAACGCTGTAATGAAGAAAGTAAATTGCTGAAAGACTTGAAGTAAACGTATCAGACATACTTAATACTTTCATGTGGCGTTTATGACTACCTTTTTGTCTAATAATTGTGATTTGTTTATTGCAACTAATGATATTGTTTAATTACGTCTGTATGGTGCGGTATTATCAACACCAGTGTAACTGCTTGCTCGATTTGAAAACCTTCCTTTGCATATATGCTCTTTTCTGTTTGAACTCTAATTTTAACTTCTCCAAAATGAGATCCCGAAATCTTAAGCATCGTACATGAACACAATCTCGATCTAAAATGAATACAATCT